ATGATTCCTCAAAAAGCTGAACATAGAAATTCCATATAACCCAGCTATTCCACTACTTGGAATATACCCTGAGAATATGAGAACTGAGGCACAAAACTGAGATTTGTACACCAATGTTCATAGCAGCATTATTCACTACCACAAGAACATGGAAACAGCCCAAATGTCCAACCACAAAAGAATGGATTGAGAAATTATGTTACATTCACACAATGGAATACTATGCAGCACACAGGAGCAATAACTTTGTAAATTATTACCTAAGTTGGGAGGGACTGGAGAGCATTATGCTGAGTGAACTCAGTTCCATAAGGATAAATATTGTATAAAACCGTTATTGTAAAATGAGTATAAAGATCCAGAAGGGGTGGGAGAGACTGGAAGCAGAGGGATGTGGATATTCAGGGGGCAGGGGGGATTAATCATTGAGTTCTACAATTTGATGGGGGGATGAAGGAAATTGAAAGAATTTGTTCTAATTTGTATTTTAATTTTGTAAATAAACTAATAGGGAAAAAATTTAAAAAATATGTGAGCAAAAATAAAAAAGGACTATAGTCTTCAAGGGCAATTTATTGCCTCCCAAAACCAACAGAGGGTCAACAAGGAATCAGTTCTGATCCGATGGCAGTGAGTGGTGTAGCACTGGTCTGTGCATTGCTGTACAGAGCTAACTCGTGGTTGCTGTGATGCTGACGCCTGTGACAGTGATGTGCTTATCGTGGTAATGGGCACCCATGGTGGACAGTGTTGGCTGGAGCTTCCCGACTAAATCAAGCCTGGAAGCAGGAGCGGCATCCACTTCCGAAATGGCTTGCCTCCGGACACTCTATGTATGAACAGTGCTCAGGCTGTTCGTTCACAGGGTCGCTATGAGTCGTCTATGCCTTGACAGCATTAAACAACAACAACAAACATAGTCTTCAATATGGATTGAAGTTCAACATCAAGAAAACGATTCTCATCACTGGGCCAATTGGCAACACCACAACAGATAGAGAAGAGATTGAGATTGTTAACAATTACCATTTGCTTGACTCCACAATCAATATTCTTGACATCAGCAGTAAAGAAATCAAAAGACAAACTGCATTAGGGACCACTCCAAAATGTTGAACTGCAATGATGTTAATCTCGAGACTAAGGTGCGCCTTGATGAGCCATGGTCTTCACAATTACTTGCTATGCTTCAGAGAGCTGGACAATTATTAAGGATGACAGAAAAAGAATTGATGCCTTTGAGTTGTGGCACTGGAGAAAGGTATTGAACATACCATGAGCTGCTGAGAGAACAAACAGGTCTGTTTGGGAGAGAGTGAAACCAAGTTGCTCTTTGGAGGCAAAGATTTTTAAGTTCCAGCTCACATACTTTGGGCATGTGGCCAGGAAACACCAGTCCTTGGAGAAGGCCATTGTGCTTGGAAGGGAGAGGGACAGAAGAGGAGCAGAAAATCACAGATGAGATGGACTGACATAGTAACTAGGGTAATTGAGGTAAGTGTGTCAGAGACAGTGAGACTGGCTCAGGATGGTACAGAGTTCAGAGCTATTGTACATAGGGTTGCTATGAGTTGTAGGCAACTTGATGGCACATAACATCAACAATGGCATATATTACTTGTTATTATTTCGAATCTTTTTACTCTAAATATTCAACATCTCCTTCTAGTAGCTTCTAATCTTTTGCTTCACTGTCTTTTAACTCCCAATAATACCTTGAACCATTTTTATCATGCAAACTGCATCTCCT